GGCTGTGCTGGCGCCGGACGCAGAGCGCGGTGCTGCGGGTGGAGCGTCAGGTGAGCGAGCGCGGGTTCTAGGTCGACCCTAGGCTTGATAGAGCGGATCAGCTGGGACTTCTGGGTGCCGGAGGCAGGAGTCCCAGAGTGAGGAGGAGACTCAGGCTGAGGCCCGGCAGGGGACTGCGGGGGCCTGCGGAGACAGCGCCCGCGCCTCCCCATCCTGCGTCGGACTGGAGGCGCCTCGCAGTCGAAGAGCGCCCGACACGGCGTCCTGGCCCCGGCCCGGGTTCTTCCACTGTCCCATCCCTGCCTCCCAGACGGGGCGCCACTGCAGTGGTCTCCGCCGCGCGAATTCCTCCATGCCCCCTCTTCCCGCCTCCACCCACGCCGCTTTTCAACCATTCATTCTTGTGGATATATTGAGTGCCTACTGTAGGCGCGGAGCAGATAAAACCCGGGTTTCTGGCCATGAATCTTGGTGAGTGTCCCAGGCGGATTTGCCCTAGGGCGCAAATCGCGGTGAAGAGCGGACCGCAGGTTTTAGTGGATGGAAAAGGCGGTTGCAAAACCTGAAAACGACTTTGATATTAAGAATTAGTAGTTTAGCCAAGTCCTTTGGCGTGTTAAGTGATTCATTAGAGGAGAAGTTAAGTTCTTTTGAGACGCGGAGTCAGAACAATAACATAGGGGCGATCGTTTCTGACGCCGGTGTCGGCCTTCTGGGCTACTCTGGAGACAGGCAACCAAAGGCTGGTAGAAGCATACGGACTTTGATGGTGAGAGAAGAGGAAAATCAGAGTGACATATCCGAGGCCAGTATTTTCCTTCTGGTTTAGGATGGAGAAGGAAGTTTGTGCTGTGGCCAAGTGAAGATCCTTACTCTGTGGCCCTTGTATTTGTCGTAACTGTATGTAATTATTGTAAAATAGCTGTAAGGAATAGGACTACCGGGGATGTGTTTATTGAGAGCAGGCGCAAAAATTCAGTAGACCAATTGCTCACGTATTTTATCCCCATTTATTTAAAATATAATGTATGATTTGAGTGACTTGCCCTTTGAGTTAATGCATAACGAATTTGAGGCAGTGAAAAATTTGCTTTTGCAGTAAATTGTGATAGTTTAACCTTAATAATATAAACATAATTCTAGGCTTTGGATCTGTAATACGCAGAGTCACATCCACTTACATCTTTGGCTTTGGGTGGGTTACTTAACTTTTCCACCTCAGTTCCCTCTGACTTGGGGAGAAGAATGTTTCCTGATCATTGCACCTTTACATTAAATGGCTCATGTATCCTGTTTATCACAGTACCTGGCCCATGGTAAATATTAAATACATATTAGCAGTTTTTACAATTGTTCATTTCTTTTTCCACTACATCATGACACAGACGCCTTTCTTTTCTGTTTTCCAAGTGATGGGAAAGATAACTGGCTATTTTAAGAAAAAAACATAGCTCACTTTTTAAAATCAAGCAAGAGTTTCTAAGTACATAGATTTAAGTTTAGAGGAAATACACTTTTAAATTGGACTGTAGTAACTTTGCTGTTCAGTCAGGACATTTTTAATGTGGTTAAGATACTGATGGACTCCATGCTTAGTTTAAATTAGTTCCTAAACTCTTTAGTATTGACAGATTCGGGGTTCATAGTTACAGCTAGAAAAGTTCAATGTTGTTTCACATTGTTAAAAGTTTGGAAAGATGATGATTGAGAAAATAAAGTACTTGGGCCCAGATGGTATAATGGTTATGTCGCTGAAGTCTCATGGTTCGAGGCCCAGATCAGGCGATGAAAACTCACTGGGTGCTTGTGCATGCATGCCTAAGATTCTAGAGGAGAATAGAGAAGAAGGGATTGTGACTGTGGAGGGGCCATCCTCTTCCGCAGGGGGTGATTCCTCGCTTTCTGTCTCTCTGTCTCTCGCCCTACAGCAGACGTCTCTTCAAATGAATAATCAAGTACCAAACAAGAATATGGAGGGAAGGGGATTGGAGTGGAATGATGCAAGCAAATTTTTAACAAATTGATTTATGCAGTGTGAACTGGAATCTTTTCTCACCAAATTTCCATTTCTCAGAATTTAGGTTGTTATTTGAAACACTTAACTTTGGGCATTTTGACTGTTAAAGAAGCAAAGGATATGCTAAAAACTTCACTGAGACCTGGTTTTAGTTTTTATGTGATTAGATGAAAAGAGTATTATTAATCTCCTACCTTTCCATGAAAAAGTGGTCTTAAAGCAGTAACTGCTGGGTCCATTCTAAAGATATTCCCAAAGTATGTGACTGATTTGTAAAAACCTTTTATAACTTTGGGCTGTGAGACCAGGTAAAGGTTGAAAAACTAGGAAGGAAGGTAAAGCGAGGATTTTCGAGATTTGTAAAAGGAAGCCTGCTTTGATGTAGTATGAGGTTGCACTCTTTTCCTGGTCACTAGGTGGGTTGCTGTAAGGATTTGAGTGATTTGTAAATCATTTAGCTCTTTTCCTAACATTGTGAGATTAAATCTACCTCATATTCCAACCGTATGAGAGATGTAGGTTTTTCTGGTGGAGTGTTCTTTAACAGATTTTTTTTTAAACCATTCTGTATGGATGACCAAATAATTCCGTTTCAGTAATAATAAATTAATAAATGTCATAAAGTCAGTCCTTAAGAAAATGCTTGATAGCCACAAATAAAACAGCGACACACTATGACTTGGTTTTTTTAAATACAGCATTTATTTTCCTATCCCTTGTTCCTCCGTATATGAGATGGTGCTTCTTTTAGTTTATGTCTTGAGGTGGGCTTCCATGATTGAATTGATCCAAGTGGGCAGAGCAAAAAATAGTTAAATCTTTTTGATCTACCTATTCCTTTTTAAAATTTGCTATAGGACATGTAAACTTGCTGGAGAAAGTGAGAAAGTATCCCTCAGGGGAGAGGGCCACACTGCAGTCTCCTCTCTTCTAGTCTCTCAGCACACCTGCCTAACTTGCCTTCTAAGCCATTGGGTCCAGGACTCAAACTACACAGTTGGCCATGTGACATCCAGCAGCTTTAACCACCACACCATCCACTGGTAACTTAAAAGTTATTTATTTTATTTAGTAATATTATTATTTTTTTAAGTTTGCTATAGGGCACGGGTGCTTACCAGAGAGAGACCCAGAGAGAAGGAAAGTGTGAAAGCAAGCCACCACGTCCAGGAAGTCAGCCACATGGAAGTCCAGAGCTTTAACCACACCATGTCACCTGCTGGCCCCCCTGTATTGCTTTTTTAAATTTGAAGAAAATGTATAGTATTTTCAATTCCTATGAGAAAAGGTCTGGGGGCTTTTGTTAGGGTTCAATTTGTTGCCAGTCAATTATGCCCCAAGAGATGATCAGCTTTAGTTTAATTAATTCCATGAATGGTCAGCTCATGTTTCCCTTAATTATCATGTTACCTAACTATTTTTCTTATAAGTCATCACATGGTTCTTCCATTCACATGAATGATGTCTGTTTTAGGAAGGTGGTAGTTTAGACCCAGTAATGGCATCTGGGTGGGCTAACATTCATTCCAGGGTTCTTTTCTTCTGCAGCCTAAGTTATTTGTTGAGCCAAAGTCTAAACTAAACTTTGGGTAGTTGCCCAAGCAAACATTAATATAAGGATGAGTATAGCTGCTTTTGAAAATAGCAGTAGAGTAGGACAATCTATTGGAACATCAGTAGAAAAATAGATAAACTGGCTCATTCATACAGTTGAGTATTATTCCCTAGTAGAAACGAATGAACCAGATCTGTATTTATCAACATGGATACACTAAAGTATGTAATAGTGAGTGAAAAAAGCACAAGAATATGTATAGTAAGATGCATTTTGATAGCATGCATTGTTTATTGATACATATGTACCTAATGAAAGTGCATAACAGTCTGAGAATACACATCTGATGAATAGTGGCAGAGTGGCTGGCATGCCTTCAGCTTTATATAGAGCTTTTTCTTTTTTTCTATTTTAAAGAAAGAACTGAAGCAAATACAAAAATACCTTGATATATGTTAAAACTAGGAGCTGGCTATACAGATTTTGTTATTTTTACAATTTTATGTATGGCTAAGATAGTTGTAAAATAGCACTTTAAATTTTTTATTTATAGGGCCAGTCCTGTAGCACACTGGTTAAGGGAACAAGATCCTATGTGCTAACTGCAGTTCACATCCCAGCTTGAAAAACACACTTTTGGGACTAGCAGTTAGCGTAATGGCTATGTCGCTGGACTCCCATGTAGTCGACGGTGGTTCGTGTCCCGGACCTGGTGGCTTAAACTCACGCCAGGCACGTGTGCGTGCGTGCCCAGGATCCCGAGAGGAGAAGGGATTGTGGCGTGGCCATCTCCCCTGGGGGGTGATTTCTCGCTTTCTATCTCTCTGTCTGTCTCTGTCTGGCGAGCACACATGCCCTATAGCAAAAAAAAAAACAAAAAACCTCTCAAAAAAAAAAAAAAAAGAAAGAAAAACATGCCTGTGCTTCTGTGTGTGTGTCCCAAATCCTGACAGGATAGCGAAATGGAGGAAAAAGGATTGTGGGTATGACTATGCCCCATAGAGGGTTGCTTTCTTCCTCTTGCTCTGTCTCTCTGATGAGTGCATATGCTCTTTGGCAATAAAAGAATGTTTTGTTTTGTTTTAATTTGTGTTTATAATCAAGGTTGTTTCCCAATATGCTTTCTTGCGCTTTTAAAATTTGCTATAGAGTGGTGCACTTACTGGAAAGGGATAGGGGATGGGTTGGGGGTCCAGAGGAATGGCCACACTGCAGTTTCTTCTCTTCCATTCTGTTGCACGGATTTTGGGCGTGCAGTCGGCCACGTGGGATCTAGCCGTCTTTACCACCCACCACACCTTAACCACCATGCCACTAACTGGCCCCAGTATGCTTTCTTTAACTCTAAAGCCTCAAAGTAATAAACTCTGGGGGAAAAAATTCTTTGTGCACTACACAGGAATGCACCAGTGCATCTCCACTGTGTAATGCTTTTCTAAGAAGATGCAGACTGGTTGTTTAATCAGTTTCTCCTTTGCTGTTTGACTTTGCATCCCTGCAAAAATGCTAGGATGTGAGGAATGATTCTTCTTAAAAGGTTACAGAGTAATCAAAATCCTAGAGATTCTTGGGAATTACAGGTATATACTGGTAATAAACTCTCAAAATCTAGGGGGATAAGTTGTATAAAATGTCCCAAGGGCATTTAGACATAGAGCTCAGATACAAGAGTACCACAGATTTCATGTAGTCATTAATGCTTTTTAAAAGTTTGAGTAGATTACATTTTAATCAGACGTAAACTGGAGTTTACACTATGAATGCTGGTGTCCTAGTTACTGCTCAAAGTAGTTCTCTCTGTACAGATGGTAATAAGTAAACATGTTGACAGTGTGTTAACCTTGAGTAATAAAAAATTAATAGCTGACCCTAATATAACCTCAGTATTTGAACTTGTCT